ATGAATTTTGGAAGAGACATTCGAGCCACAGCAGCCAGCGCACTTGCGCCTTGAGACTTACTCATGATGTGGTCGTCTCTTACCTGGCTACCTAGCTGCCAACCTTCTGCTTTTCTGCATTGGATTACCAAAGGGTTTCTCGTTAACACAAGTCCATGAATGCTATGAGCTAACTTCCCAGGATGAAAGCTTTCCACCTTTGCTTACAGCTTCCAGTAATGTCCAAATTTCTTATGGTAGAAAGCAAGACCTTTCAGGATATGGCCGCACTTACCCTCCAGTCTGTTTTCTTTTCACAGCTCCCACAAACTCGAGTATCTACCCTGGCACACACACACCCCCATAGCTGAGCAGAGAGCCATCAGATCGGTGGAAGCCTTTGTCTGCAATGACCTTATTCTTCCTACCCACCCCCAGACTCTTCTCTCTGGAAAATCCTAGGAACCCTACAAAATTAAGTTCAAGAATATCCTGTCTGGGGTCATCCCAAGCCCTTCCAACAAAGCCAATGTGCCGCCCTTACTGGTGCCACTTGGTATGTACACTAAATACCTGGATCCCTGCATCTTACTCTAATGGTCGATTGTGAAAGACACTGGTGGGCATCTGTTTGCCAAGGGTCACTAGATGAGACTGCTGGCTGAGTCTGCAGCCCCTCTTCCACATTACACCACCTGTTTTCTTTTTACCCACTTGTTCCCTCCAATATACCACGCACATCATGCAAATGGAAAAGGGCTGGAAACCACGTGGGCCCAGCACACACAGGCGCTCCATGAACAGGTACAGGATAAACGGGGCAAGACTGTTCCACCCCAGCTCATGGGCAGAGCTGATGGTCTCTGACTGGCTCGGGCTGTCCCTGGCTTTGGGGATGAAGACATCTGGAGGTAGCATACTCCTCCATAGGGGTTGCAGCACCCCCATAGGAAGTAAGCAAGTGCTCACTGCCCTGAAGTCTTGCACCAACCTCCATTGCCTGATTTGCTTGGAATAACAAAGACAGGAACATTTCAAGGGTTGAGTTTTCTAAATGTCCTAGCTAAGATTGTTCCTCCACTCATTTGTGCAGTTGGGTTAGCTTCTCCTTAGTAAGGGGCTATTTATCTACCTAAACAGGTGCCTCGGTTTCCCACTGTAAAGGCAGAGCTGTTTGGGGAGCTGAGGTATCAATAGCTCTTGTCAAAAAAACCTGCTGCCATCGGATACCATACCTGCTGTTCTTAGGTATGGTGCTATCAGCTCTGATTTCTTTTAAGTTCTTCCTAGTCCTTCGTCCTTTGTCTTCATGATATCCCATTTTAATCATCATTTGTCTAATTTTAAGAACTCAATATAATTTCAGAATTGGAATCTGTTTAATTTTAAAATCAGAATCACTAGTCAATATTAATTTCCACTTTTGTAACAAATCTCTTCCCCACAAATTGACTAGAATAGGTGCCACATATGGTAAAAAGAAATCCTTTTATGGCCCCTCACAAGGCATGGGTGAGGTGCTTTGTGGGACCCCAGTCCTGTCAAGGAGGCAGGGCCTGTTGTGTTGGTCCTGGGTGGGCCACTCTTCTCATGCAAGTACAGAAACATGCCCACCGGTGCCTAGTAAGGCTTCAAAGCCTTTTCCATCCACCTTTACATGACTCACCAGTTTGTTTTCAGTCACTTCCTGTGTAGAATCAATTTCCCTTTGTAGTCTGCTCCGAGCGTCTTGCTCCTTCACAAGCTGTCTGTATTTAACAAAAGTAGGCTGATCTGTAGGTAACAAAGCAGCTGGGCCACATATTCTCCCTGTCCAGAAACCCAGGGGCCCCTACCACATGCAAAAACTGTATCTCACCTCAACAATCACGTCAGTCACACTAGGTACAACAGTTACTCCTTTTAAATTTAGATCAGCATTCCTAGTACCAGACCAACTGTCCCCTCAGGCAGGGGACCCCCGAATTCCTGTGAGAATTGGGGAATGTTTGTCACCTCTGATCAGGGTGACTCTGCAAGTTGCAGGAAGATCTAATCCTGCACTTTGTATTGCTCCTTCGTGAGGAAGTTAACCTCTCTGAGGGTGGGGGGCATTTGTGAAGCTGCTGGATCTGCTGATGTGTTTACACTGGGTATAGCTGACTGATACACAGGTTGTGCTTCTCTACTGTTTGCCCGGCCTGAGGACAGGCTGACATCTGTTTTATTTTGGGTTTTTTTCCAAAGATGTACTATTCTTATGGAGTTTAGAATGACTAAATGCTTGGCCCAGTGCTTCCCTTTTCAGCATCTCAGACAGGGTCCAGGAATAGGACCTACGCCCCTACATCACAGGCATTTTTCTTTGACCTGCCTCAACCATGGTCTTTGTCCTACTATATCCAGCCAGAACTGTACAATTTTTTCTAACATGTCCCATATTTCCAGTTAAAACATTTTATATTAGCCTCTTATGCACTGGCAAAACCAGCCATAACCTGAGCCATCGTAGTCGTCTTATATAATTCGGTTCCAAAAGCCTGACACGCCTGAGTATGTGTTGTTAAATCATGCACTGATTTTACGGGATCTGGAGCTTGTTTTCATCCCAGAGGGCATCTGCACATGCCATCAGCAGAATGAAAATGGCCGCAGCTTTCCTGTTGGGAGCCTGTCTGTGAACTGCTGCTCGGAACTTGGCCACAAATTGAGTAAATGCTTTCTTAGCGCCTTACAGGATGTGCATAAAGGACTGCAGGGGGCGCTCTCCTCTCCAGCAGCTGAGCAGGCCGCCTAGTAATCTGCCAGCTGTTCTTCAGGACACTCGGTCTGTCCTGGGGATGCCCACTGGCCTGTCCCAGAAAGCATTTCCTCATTTATTTCTGGACATGATTAAGACCCATTCTGCTTACAGACGCCTGCTCAGAAACAAGATTTTTTAACTGTACATTGGGGTGGCTTCTAGTTTGTGATTGATTGATTTTTTTTCTCCATAATTTTATTGAGAGACAAATAGCAATGAGACAGTTTCAAATCAAATTGGTAGGACAGTTTCAATAATTAACACATTGCATACTCTCTTCCCAGTGGTTATTTGCTGTACAAGATGCAGATACATTATTTACAAACACCATTAGAACAAATCCCTCAAAAAAAAAGAACAAATCCCTCTATTAAGAGAATGTAACTAACTATATATCTATCCTAATAATGTTGAATATACAGATACAAAATGGACATTCATCTGTATCCCCTTGTTTAGTTCCATCATTTAAATATTATAGGTGTGTGAACTCAGCAAAAAATTCTAAAAGAGTCCTGTAGTCCATAATAGTACTGGGTCTTCTGCTTCACAGGCAATGTCAGAAATTGTTGACCTGAGTCCCCTACGGCTCAACATATACTTCTTATACTTCATTTTTATACTTTTCTGCTGGATGGTTAAGACCAAGATAAAGCAGGACCTATGCAACAAGAGTTGTAGCTTTTGGGTCTGATAAGGTCAGTCAAATCCCCTCAGGATTTATCCTGAGATCCTGTACCTCAGATTGAAGATCCTTTGTCAGTGTCAGCCATGTGGATGAGTCATGGCCATTGCTTGGCCAATGTGCGCTCTGTGAAAGCCTGAGAGAATGTTTTCCCTCCATGTGACTCTCCTTAGGCACACTCTACATCATCGATCACTTCCCTCTTTGGCCCCATAATCTCCTTGATCAGAAAATTTGGGACACTACTGAGGTACATGACGTTACAGTACAAGTTCTCCTATGTCCTGAGTCTTAATTGACCTTGGAAGGCTAGGGCCAAAATGTTGGCTTTCCTTGCGGCCCTCCTTTTTCCCTAATTTTGGTCTGCAAACTTAGGTTGTTAACCCTCCAGTTGTGCTTGATTTATGATCCAATGCTGGGATTACGGGGTGAGTGCTACACCTGCCCTGCGGCGGAGAGCCTGGGTATGACCACCGGGCGGGAGCGGCCTGCTCTTGCCTCTGCTGCTGCTGAGCTGCTCTCCCCCTTCGCTCTCTGCTCTTCTGCCGCCATGAACAGCAGCCCTGTGCCCTGCCACTCTGCCTTGGAGCCAGCCACCAACTGTGAGCTAAATAAACCTTTCCTTTCTTATTTTTGGGGGTGAGGTATTTTGTCCCAGCAACAAGAGAAAAGTAACTGAGACAACATTAAAAAGAAGAAATTGAGCACGAGACAGAAATGTTGGTGTTAGATGTTTGATATCATGAGGTATCAGTTAATACGTATCCAAAAAATTTTGTAAAAGTCCCACTGGAAACGGACTTTGAATTCCAGTGTTAATCATATTTTGAGGACTTTTTTAGCAGTTATAATTCAAAAGGCATAGGAATCAAAATCTCTTTGTCATTAGTATTTCTGCGAGTTCTACCTAGGAAGCAAGAAGAGGTACCACTGAGTTCCCCTTTTGCCACTTCTTCTCTCCTTAAAGTCTATAAGGGTTTTTTTTTTTTTTCTTTTGGGGGGTGGCGACTGGGAATTGAACTCAGGACCTTGCACTTGCCAGGCAGGCGCTTGTGCAACTGAGCTATAACCCAGCCCCAGCTATCAGTTTCTGAATAGAGCCATATGAGACATTTTTCCCAAGGCTCTGGCTCCTGCCTGTGAGGCGGCCCCTTTAAGGACTGCTTTGGCAGCAGAGGCCTCTGCTGCGAGCTGTTTTGTTTCCTCTGTATCTGAAGTAGAAGCTGCGGCCTGTGAGCTCTGCAGTGGACTCAAAACTGAAGGAACCAGGTTCCGAGCTGAGAAGGTCTCAGGAGAAGTGAGCTTTCCTCTACTATATGCTTAAGTCTTTTCCAACTCTTTCCCCATTATCACTCTCTGCAGTGCCTATCTGAGGAAGCCAAGGATTATACTTGGTTACCTCCTGTAATATTTTGTTAGGTCTTGTTAGCACACGAGTGCCTGAGCATTTGAGCGGGCCTTGGGGCAGCTGCATGTATCTTTGCTCCTTGGCTGAAAACTTGGGGCTCATTTTACTCCCTGATAGAACAGCTTGCCTGCAACGGGAAGACTCACCCTTGAATGCTTCTCTTCCGTCTCCTCTCCAGCTGTCCCCAGTGAAGTTTCTTCCTGGGAAGGCAAGGCACTTCCTGTGAGTAAGCAGCCTTAATCAGGCTAAGAAGTCCCAGTCCAAGGATTTTAATTGGTGTTCTGGGCACCAATTATTGCAGACTGACCAAGCCAGCAACCTCCCAAACAAGTAGATGGTAAAGTCTTAAAAATGAGACAACATGATTTTAGGGCTCCAAGAGGATCAAAACCCTCTAGCAGACGTCAAGATTCTCTGGGGCTAGGACAAAGAACTTCTTTGGCTGGCCCATATATATTTGGTTTTCAAACAATGGAAGGGGATACTGAGGAAAGTGGGAGCCTGAGCCGGACCTTGGGAGGCAGTACAAAGACTTCTCTAAGTAGTAAATTACGCTCATTAGGAGACTGTCTTCTCTCCAGGCTGACACCTGCAATTACAGTCTCTGTTTAGTTAACTGGGCTGGAGCCACGCTTCCCAGCTGTGGCCCCATCCTGTCCTTTGAGGTGGCAGGGCCTCACAGACCCCCACAGGCCTCACAGAGGTTCACTTACGATGAATCCACTGTGCATCTCCCGACAGGGGCCTAGGCCTAGGACAGACTCACAAGCACACAGACAGTCAGCTGGTTAATTTTAAATCCTGCTCAGAGCTGCTTCACGGTGGCCTCCATTGTCCAGGCACACATGGCAACCTGCGAGTCCTCAGCTACGCTGCAGACACATGAGGGACTCAGGAGGGACAGGAAGGAGGCGGCTGAGAAGCTAAGCCGGTGAGGTTTCAGGTTTTGCTTCTCACTTATCAAAAATGTTTACTATAGCTAAATGTAATACAAGCCAGCTGTCTTCTGATTGCAGCGTAATAGATGTACCACATACAGCTAGTAAATACATCAAGAAATGGTGCTCATGAGCCTATTTCTGTTCAGAAAATGACACTGCAATAGGCAGGACCACATGCTTCAAATGACAAGTCTCAGCTGGGCATGCTGATGCATACCTGTAATCCCAGTATCCTGGGAGGCTGAGGCAGGACTGTAAGTTTGCACCAAGCCTGGGCCACTTAGTGAGACTAGGGCTGGACACGTAGCTCAGTGTGAAGGCCCAATTTTAACTGCCAGTCCTAGGGGAAAATATCAGTCTTTGGGCTAAATACAGTGGGAGGACTTTCCGTCCAGTGTGGTGGGGTTCCAGGATGCCTTCTGTGTCAACGCTGCTCCTTCCAGAGCCCTGGCTTCGGGCCTGCGGGGGGCCTGCCATCACTATACCAGGACTGTCTAGGCCATTCTGGCAGAACAGGCCACAGGCCCCACGGGTCCAGGTAATTCCAGGAAAATCCTCACAATCTTCATTTCTCATGAGCATTTTCACATCCTCCTTTAATAGAAACAGAAACAGCCTGTAAATTTACCAGTGGCCCAAAGGAGCAAGCTCTTTTCCAGGGTGCTGATCCCCGGGTGACTTGCTGCACCTGAGTGAGGCCCGTGGCTCCAGGCTGAGTTCTGTGTATAGCCCAGGAGCAACGGATGGGCTCCGGCGGTGCTCTGGAATCCAGAGAAGCTGGCGGTGCAGCTCAGGGGTAGAGCACTTGCCTGGCACCCACAGGCCTTGCAGTAAACTAATGCAGAGCAGGCATGAGGCCTACCAACTTGTTCCTGATACCTGTAATACCAGAAGACCCCGCTGTGTATTTGCTGCCCCCTGGTGGAAGATTCTGGGGAGAGTCTTGGGTTTGGAATTTGCATCTTCCAGGAGCTGTGTCCTCCACTGCAGCTGGGGTGAATGGGTGAGTGCTTTCACATGTCTCTGGCCCCTCCGGGGCTGTTTCTGGACACCTGCACCTGAAGCTTGACTTGTTTCTTTCATGGAACACCAATAACGCCGCTAACACTGACAGAATGCTCACTCTGTTCTGCACTGTGGGGCCTACTTTATATGAAGTGTGTCATTCAGTCCTCACTAGCCATCAGCAACAGGTCGTGTGCCTCTAATCTAAAAATATGAAACCCCAAACCTGAAACTCTTTAAACACCAACATGCCACAAGTGGAAAAGCCCATACCTGACCTTATTAAACAGAACGCACTCAAAACACAAGCACCAGGTCCTGCTTTACCTTGGTCTTAACCATCCAGCAGAAAAGTATGAAGACGAAATTATAAGAAATAAAGCCATGCTGTTATGTTGAGCTGTGGGGGACTCAGGTCAATAATTTCTGACATTGCCAGTTAACAGAAGACCCAATGCTATTATGGGCTACTGGACTCTTTTAGAATATTTTGCTGAGTTTACACACCTATAATATTCAATAA